ATTATTGCTGTGAACAAAAAGGGATTCACAGACAAGGATATTGTTGCTACTAAGATTGCACCTAAATCAACCATTAATCAGATCATCAAGAACTTCAATGAAAGAGATTCAATTTTTGTGAAGAAGGCTTCAGGGTGCTCAAGAATGTCCAGCAAGTGCCAGGACTGTCTCCTAAAGTTGATTCAGCTGTGGCATTGGGGCACCACCAGTGCAGAGCTTGCTGAGGAATGGCAGCAGGCAGGTGTGAGTACATCTGAACGCACAGTGAGGTGAAGACTTTTGGAGGATGGCCTTGTGTGTCAAGAAGGGCAGCAAAGAAGCCACTTTTCTCCAGGAAAAACATTAGGGACAGACTGATATTCTGCAAAAGGTACAGGGATTGGACTACTGAGGACTGGGGTAAAGTCATTTTCTCTGATGAATCCCTTTTCCAACTGGGGCATCCATAAAAACCTTGTCCGGAGAAGAAAAGGCGAGCGCTACCATCAGTCCTGTATCAGGCCAACAGTAAAAGTATCCTGAGACAATTCATGTGTGGGGTTGCTTTGCAGCCAAGGGAATGGGCTCATTCACAATCTTGCCTAAGAACACAGCCATGAATAAAGAATGGTAAAGAAACATCCTCCGAGACAACTTCTCCCAAACCATCCAAGAACAGTTTGGTGATGAACAGCCTTTTCCAGCATGATGGAGCACCTTGCCATAAGACAAAAGTGCTAAGTGGCTTGGGGAACAAAACATCGATATATTGTGTCCATGGACAGGAAACTCCCCAGACCCTAATCCCATTGAGAACTTGTGGTCAATCCTCAAGAGGCGGGTGAACAAAAACTCCCCACAAATTCTGACAAACTCCAAGTATTGATTATGTAAGAATGGGCAGCCATCAGTCAGCAATTTACCCAGAAGTTGATTGCAGTATTGACCCTTCTTTTTCAATTCACCCTGGCATGCTGTCAAATATTCACTCTTTGCATAAACTTAATGTAATTGTCAATAAAAGCCTTAGACACGTATGAAATGCTTGTAATTGTATACCACAGTAACATCTGACAAAAACGATAAAAAAACACAGAAGCAGCAGACTTTGTGAAAATTGAATGCGAATATTTGTGTTATTCTCAAAATGTTTGGCAATGGCTGTATACTCACAAGGCGCACACTTTGAAGGATCTAATGTTTAATTGTAAAATCTTTCAATAAAATGTTTTTTAAAATACCCTAGATTTACCTCTATTGGCCTTTTTACTATAAAATCAATATCCATTATCTCCTACTCCCCATGTAAGCATAGCTTTATATGGGCATCTTGTAATGCACGACACATAGCAATATATATATATAGAAAACCTTTTTGTGATATGATAAATTCCCAAAATAAATTAAAATCATAAATATATACCAAGAAATAAAAAATACAAAAATTCCCCAAATCCAAAAAGTCCAATAATAAGTCCAAAGATAAATCCAAAAATAAGTCCAAAAACAGTGTCCAAAATTCCAATCTTTTTCCTCCAAATACGAAAGTTGACCACTAATTCATCCAAAAACGTACCTCAAAAAAATATAAATATAAATAATCTAGTGCAATTCAATTAATTGAAAGAAATCACCCCATGCAACTTCACTTCAAAATATTTGTGAAAAAGAGAGAAAAGAAAAAAAAATAAAAAAAAATAATATATATATTTCTTATATCTTTCAGATGAAGTCCGGAAGTGACGAAACGCGTTAAAGGAGTGACGTCAAGACGCACGTACGCAGACCGAAAGTGTCGTCGCAGCCATTTTTAAGGTTATCAACACATGGTGGAGGAAATGTTTGGTGGAAACAGATAGAAACCATGTTTGGAGCTGATAATCTGGTTTTAATATGTGAGTTACTAATAAATGTTATCCCTATGCTTTGAATATTGCTCCTAAGACCATTTTATCTTTCTGAGGACCTTGGAAAAAATATTCTTAAAGAAGAATTTGGAGGATTACTGATCCATAATGTTTGTAGAGCTCTCATAATACTCACAGAGGTATTTAGTACTATTGTGTGGTGGTCGATGGTATTCACTGAGTTGCAGTGATCACAGAGTGTGTACACTTTGGATTGATGTGTTTAAATGCACCATATAAAAAAAATTTATTAAGATTGGAATAATTTTATTTATTTATACATATACATATACATATATATATATATATATATATATATATATATATATATATTTTTTTTTTTTTTTTTTTTTTTTTTCTCTCTTTTTCACAAATATTTTGAAGTGAAGTCTGAAGTTGCACGGGGTGATTTCTTTCAATTAATTGAATTGCACTAGATTATTTATATTTATATTTTTTTGAGGTACGTTTTTGGATGAATTAGAGGTCAACTTTCGTATTTGGAGGAAAAAGATTGGAATTTTGGACACTGTTTTTGGACTTATTTTTGGATTTATCTTTGGACTTATTATTGGACTTTTTGGATTTGGGGAATTTTTGTATTTTTCATTTTATTTATATTTTTTATTTCTTGGTATATATTTATGATTTTAATTTATTTTGGGAATTTATCATATCACAAAAAGGTTTTATATATATTTTACTACACTTTCTAGGGTGGAAGGTATTAACTTTTTGAGGGTATAAAAAGGAGGGTACACATTTAATTAGTCATGACACATAGCAGTCTGTTTAAAAAAAAAAAATGCTGAGTGAATGTCTCAAGCATTCGCACAGCAATCACAAATAATCACTTTTGCCTAATATGCTTATTTCCCATAATCATCATCTTCATCTAGTGGCCATAATGCAGAGTTTTCTTGATTGAGGTATTTCAGGAAAATACCACATTATGGCCAAAAGATTGACCTGATGACCATAGAAAATGTTAGGTGAATGGCGGGAATTATTTGTTATTAAGCTTGAGATATTCGCACAGATAATATTTCATACAATAGACCCATTAGGTTACTTCTAATTTTCTCTCATTAACTTTATGAGCAAGTCCCTTATTTCTGTTAACAAAGAACAAGGTAACCACACAAATATGAATTCCTTCTGCATTCATTTATTTTACGTTTTAATCAAGGGTATAGCCAAGTAGGTTATACTGCCAACTACATCTACAGGTGCATTGGCTAGATATAATTTAGATTTTTCTTGGTTAATCTAGAATGCTGCCTTAGTTCACTGTTTAACCTTCAGGCATCAATGTGAATATGAAACTGAATATGGCTTTGCAATCAAATCGATAAAGATAACCTTTGTTAAAAAAAATGCAGATCGTGGATTCCAGACATGTATATGTAATATAGTTAAGCAATTACAACAATTAAATAAAGAAATATAATAATAAAATAATAATTACACTAGTAGGCTTGGATAGATTTGCTTTTATAACAGAGATCTGCACGATGTTTAACAAAATGCAAGTCTATGTTTGAATAAAGGGCAGGGGTACAAGCCACTATAAATAACGTGTTTCAAGTATCCATAGCGGAAGATCCAAGTCTTTGCCTGCTAAGCGCTATAGACAAATCTGCCTTGCCTGATACTACCTACATACCTATTGTTAGTGTGCTTTTTATACCACGCAAGCTAATTACCCAAACGTGGCTATATCTCCACCCTCCTACTTGGGCAGAATGGAAAACTAAAATTAAATACCACTAACTAGAGAGAAATGTATCTTTCAACATAGGAACTGCCCAACGGCATTTGAAATGATTTAGGACCTGTGTCGAGCCACTACAGGCCTAGCCCTGACCTCACTTATTTTGACTAGACTATTGCCATACTAAGCTGCATACTGGATGACGTGTCTTGTAAATTTTCTTTTTTTGCACCACTTTTCTCTTAAGGGTCTATAGAACTGACTCTAATGGCACTACACATAACCTCACGAGATAGAAGGCTTAACATATAATATTTTATTAATACCAGTTACAGAGGCATTGTCTTTTATTAGTTTGTGTTATTAAAAAGATGTGTGTTCTCAGGCGAGGTCCTGATGACAAATGTATTGTTTCTCTTGTTACTCCTATTAATGTGACAGCTAACACTATGAGTGTACTAGCAATTTCTATGCTGTGAACATAGATCTTGTGCGAAAGATGTTTGTTGTTACCAAAGGCTGTTTTGTTCGTGTAAAAACCTGAAAACTCAATGATATTAACTGATAAATAAAAAATTATAAAGGCAAACAATAATAGGATGTTGAGCTTTAAAACATTTAGCTTTGTTTGCGTACTAATACAAACCTAATCGATAAATATGATCTTGTAAATGTACCCCGACAAGACTGGACATAAAATGTTCTAACTACAAGTATACATAGTGAGCGTTGTACCACCACAGTAGAATAATATTTTTTTGTCTGTCCAAATCACACTTATCCTATGTCTTTAAAGTATAATAAAGGAAAGAAAGATTAGAACACCCTTCAGATGTTTATTGCTCTCTATGTTCACCATCTCTTCTACTTGTCCTGGTGGCCTTAATTACTGAAAGTGAAAGAAAATTCCAAATATTAGTGCTCACCATAATGAGAATATATTTGGAAATGAGAACACTAGTTCTGGTGAGCCTGGTAACAACCAGTGAGAATTCCCTCACTGTGGAAGGATGTCCTTTCACTTCCTGTTGTGGCTATGGGACAAGAAGTGAGGAATAATCTCCCCAATAGGACAGAAATGGCAAAAAACTGACAGGGGTTATAACCCCCTCTTACTCTACCCAAAATTAACAAAAAAAAAAAGATTTGCCTTCTCTACTTTAATATTTTTAGTCACTAGCCTAAAACAGGCAGGAACAGTACACAGTCTTACTTGCTGCACACTTGCGCCAAGTCAGTGACTAGGAAATTATTTAATTCATAGCTTCTCCATGACAGCCAGACAACTAGTATTTTCAGAAGGCCAGCAAAAGTAGCCTACATATTTCTCTCATGACACATTTCCTTTCATTTCTCTTTTACTTGGCTAACACAAACTCCCACAACAAAGTCCCACATACGTAGACGTCAAGGCGGAGAAAAGGGACAGCTGGCGCCTCACACAGAGATAGCAGGAGCAACAGAAGCCCAGTGCTCAGTTCCAGCATGTAGAACAAATGGTTATGGGCAAAGAGGTATGCTGCAAGTGCATTTGGGTCCCGGGGATGTGTGTCAAACTTGTCATTATTCTTTCCTTCCTGAAAAAGAGAAAAAACAAATATAAATGCTGAGTTAAATGTGCTTACTATGGGGAGCAATAAAAGAGAATGGGCCTGCAAAATCATCTGGTGTAATACTGTATAAAGCAAAGATTTCACTAAATACTGGCATGTATTGGGTTGCATGGATAAATATACCATTTTACCTCAAAATCAAAATGACAATAAGTAGGCATAACAATCTTTGAATCAGTGATTGGCAATTTTAGAAAATTCTTATTTGTCCACTGCCAATAAACCGCCACCACACCCTCTGCTTCACCTTCAAGATTTACCAATCCCCTCTCCATTCTACCTGTCTGCACATCTGAGATGACACATTGCTCTGCAGAGTTCCTCTAACAGTTAAACTGGCCATAGATGAGTAAAAGTTTGATTTTTGAACAAAATGTTGTTCATTTTTCTAATCATTAGTGGGGGTCAAATCAGCATTCATTTTTGACCACTGTGAGGAAAGACTGGAAATTTTTTTTTCGAACAAATGAATTTCTACCAGTGTATATAAAAATTGTATCTATCTTTGGCCAGCTTTAGACCTGAGGAAGGCCAGTTCGCACATACATATCCAAATGTCATCTAAAGTCTGTGGCTAGCTTAGTTCTCCACTATAATAAGATATAAGGAGCATGCAGTTTTTGGGGGTTTTTTTTTTTGCACAGAGCTGAAAAACCTGTACCATGTCAGATTCTGCAGTCTGAAGATAGAAAAGACCACAATTTAAATCCCAGAACAGATACTAAAAAATATCCATAATAATTTTTAATTAATATCTGTCAAATTTTACAAGTGTGTGCTGTATTCCAGTTTTAAGATAATGATACTTGTTAAGTACCTATAGAGTAACCGAGAAACAACATTAACTTTATTCAGTTAATCATTTCTTGAGAGATACTTACTACAGTTAACTAAGCAATTTGATTTTTACAAGAATTAACTCAATGTTTCTGATTCTTTGCTAAGAGTTTGTTTACACCACAATCCCAGCACATTTGTGTTGTTTTTTTTTTACCAAGTTGCATTTACATTGTTTTTTTTATGTTTCCATAAAAAAAAAAAAAAAAAAAATGCAACATGATGAACACTCTTTAAAACACACATTAAAACACACATTGAAGAGATAATAAACACACATAATGGCTCTGTGAGTATTCTAATTAAAAAAAAAAAAAAAAGTAAGTAATTTTTCCTAATCTATATACACGCTGTAATATGACAAAGCTCTTTCCCAGCCTGTCTGCAGGGAAACATAAGCAGGAGGATCTTTTAGTCCTCTGCTGCTGGTCACATGTCCAAAAAAAGTTTTTGGGATACAGATTAAAAATTATTTATCTCAATCTGGTTTAAATTGCCCTACAAATTACTGTATATTTAAAATCAAATCTTTATTATTTTTGCCAATAACATGGTGTGGGTGGATTTCTGCCAGTCACAGATGTGTCACGCCCCTCTAGACTGCGTCTTAGAACAACAGAGAGGTAAAGCCTCCATCAATCAAGATGTAGTATCCCACCCCCATTGTGCTTAGTTGGTTAGTGTGCAGGGAGGCTGGAAGGAGAGAGTGGGCTGTCATTTACCATTGCGTATACGCTCACATGTGTGACTCTATATTCACATGGGCTGCTCAGATGTGATAGGGAGGAAATGCTCAGCATAGAAACTCACTGAACACAGCATGTTCAGTAGCTGCCAACACTGCTCTGCAAAATCCCCAGCTGCATTGGGGACATGGACAGAATGGGGAGATAGAGAACGGAGGGATCAACCAGGTTTTTTGCAAAATACAGGAAACAGATCCCATATTGACTGAGTGACTGTGAACAGCATATAATACAGTATTTATTGATAGCTTTTTATGATGTGGGTTTAGTGACACTTTAAAGCACTGCAGTGGTGTAAACTAGGCTAATTTAAAAACTTAAATTTTTCTTGCACATGCATTTGTACTGCGTTTAAAAGGCATTCAACTGCATCTGGTGTAAACCAGCCCTAAATCTAGGTACACACAGTGTTTTTTTTTTTTTTTTTTAAATCATTCAACCAGCGGGTTGAAAAAATAAAAACCTGATGGATCCTTGTACCAACACAAGCAATGCTAGTGCAGTGATCTCCCCTGCTGTTCTACTGAATTCTGACAGCAAGGGAGGCTCTCCCTTTTCTTTCATCATTATTTTTCAGGTTTTATTTTTATTTATTTTTTCAATCTATTTTTATTTTTTGCATGTACCTTTTGAGCATTTGTTGCTTTAGGAACCTGATCGCATTTGCTTTGGGGTTTTATTGCATTAGTGCTACTTTTATTTGGAGAAGCGAAGTGGAAGTGCTTTATATGACTTCTCTGGATTCACATGCTTAGCGCAACCTTTTCTGTTGCGCCAGCTTTAAATAGTGAATTGTGACATCTCAAGCTAACCTCCAATCCCAGAATACGCCTTGTATGGGGAAACGCGTCGGGTGGAGCTAATATTGTGACGCCATCATGCACATTCACACTCAAAGGTATCATGGCCGTGCTGGAGAATTGTACTGCTTGATATTTCCTCATGTTTGTAAGTGTAATCCTTTTTCAATAGACTATTTTTGCACTATTGTATTGCACATGCATTTTAATGTATCTTAGCGCTGCACTACTGTTTTGTGAGGTCAATAAACTATTATTGCTACAGTATAGCTTCTTCATTTTGCTTTTGATGTATATCTGTGCCGGAGTCTGATAGTGGAACAAAGGCCACACTCCCACAATGGGGACGCTGCTGTTGGAACTGGCTGACGGGGGTCGCAGAGCTCCTGCGAGATCTGATGGTGAAAGCATCGGCTCTCTCGGGTGGAATACACAAAGCACAGAGTCCCCTTGGCCTAATAAACACTTTTCAGCACGGAAGATAATTTCTATAATATTTATACTGTTTAGTCACTTTTATTTCACGTTGCACTTTATTGTAGTTATGCACACCACATAAAATATTGTTGATTATTGTATATTATTTATGAATTGTTCGCTTTTTGGTGTGAGAAATATTTAAAAAGACAATGCACTTTTCAGTTATCCCCTGCCCCCTTGCAAGAATTCACAAATCAGCACTTGCAGCCATTGGCTCTAAACGTGGGTCGAATGTTGGTTTTCTTTTACCAAAGATTTTATTAGGCATGTTAAAAGAAACATACAAACCATAACAAATCGTGTAACACAAAACCACAATAAAAGATAGGGGAACAACACACAGCAAGCACAGAAATACACATACAAGACCCACGCTGGGGTCCAGATAGCATTATGGAAGGTAAAAGGCCCCGTGGTCCGCAGCCACTTTCAGAAATAGAAAAGTTACATGCAATAAAGCAAAAAAAAAAAAAAAAAAAAAAAAACACAGAGCCGCGCACACAGAGAGCCACACTCTCATGAGGCAATGTTGTCCCTGAAAATCATAGACCTGCAAGATGACAAAAATAAATGATAGACAATCGGTCTAATATAAACAAATCATATGAAAAAGAAGAGAAAGAAAAAAAAGAAAGAAATCAAACAGAGAAAACAGGAAGACGAGAGAGAGAACGAGAGCAGAGAGAAAAAAGAAACAGGCCAGCAAAGAAAAGGAGTTTGCCGGGGGGGAGAGCCTGGAGACACAATCTCCACATAAGGGGAGAGGCAAAACCCAACACATTATAGATTAATTAGTTTCGTAGTAAAACGAGAAACTGGCTGGTAATCTACCCATGGTTGCCAAACAGAGAGAAACTTATCATGTTTATCCTCCAATACCGCCGTCAATTTTTCGTTGATAAAGAAACCTTGGATTCTGGACCTGACCTCCTCAAATTGTAGGGTAGGGAATTCCCAAGAACTGGCAATAGTCTGTTTAGTAGCCATAAAAAAAAAATTGATCAATGAGCGTGGTCCACGAGGTAAGCCACGAAGTGGCTTAAAAAGTAAAGCCTCAATAGGATCCTTTTTAAGATTAATGGACGTAACTGAATAAATGTGATTATAAACTCTAGTCCACAAGCAGCAAGCCACTGGACAGGTCCAAAATATGTGGATCATCGTACCCTCTAAAGAGCAGCCTCGAAAACACAGAGTTATAATCCGATATAAATTTAGCTAATCGAGACGGGTAAAATACCATTTGGAAATCACTTTATAAGAATTCTCTAATGCCAGTATGTTACGAGAGCATTGGGAAACTCCTTGCCACATAGACCCCAATCCTCAGCAGAAATTTCCGCTTGAACCTCCACATTCCATTGCACACAATAAGCAGGCAGAGGTTCAGCTATATGGTTCTGGATTGATAGATACATTTGAGATAGGGCACCTTTAGTGGAAGCCGACGCTTTGCAAAGCAATTCAAAACTCGAAAAGGTACGAGGGGAATCCCGTCTATGAATCAAAGGTACAACAAAATGACGTAACTGCAAATAACGAAATAACTCTGAGGGAGGAATAGAATGACTCTCTCAAAGTTGCGCAAACGTACAGATGCCTTACCCGCAATCAACGAGTGGACTCTTGTAAAACCATGAGTTATCCACCAACAAAAGGCCATCTTGTCAGAGTCCCCTGGGGAAAAAAGTAGACAATCGAATATTGTAAGAGAGGTAAATGCGGGGAAATCAAACCCGCAGAGTACTTGCATGAGTCCCAAATTTTTAAGGTGTGAGTGAAGACAGGATTCAACAATTTAAGCCAAGGCAAGGCTGAAGGCAGAAGGGGATGCGTGTCCAAAATATCCATCAGTGCCCACAAGGGTAAGTCCTGTAGAGAATAAAGCTTAATGAGGGGAGTAACTTGGGCCACAATATAGTAATGATAAACGTTCGGAAGACAAGGACCACCCCAAATATATGGGTGGTAAAGTAGCTGTTTAGACAAACGAGGACGTCCCGAAGCCCATACAAACCGTAAAGACCATTGTAAGATACGGAGTATATGGGGCGGAATCCGAACAGGGAGCACCCAAAAAGAGTAAAGTAGCTTGGGAAGACAAGTCATTTTGATTGCTTGGACCCGACCAAACGAGGATAAGAATATGGAAGAGAGCAGCTGGGTTAGCTGAGAAAGTAGAGGAAGG